GTTGAAATCTTATCAACAAAAATAGATGCTAAAACCTAGTTATAGGAAAGCAGTTACGTGCCAGCCAGGCCACTGATATGGTTTAAATGGGGCTAACTGTCATGGTTACTATACAGAGCATTAATCATGATATATGTGGACTCAGACCATGTGTAGAGCCAACCATTTTACTGCTTAAAGTTATAGTGTAGGTAGGGCCTAAATTCTATGAGTCTTAACATTTTTAGAAGCTCTGTAAATAAAGAGTCAGCTTTAAATTTCAAAAACACTGTGTGAGTTCAAAAGATTGTACCTGACTTGCCTGGTGGCCTCGAGTAACACTTTGGGTAGGCCATCACTGCAATTAAAAACCCACAGCTGGCCTGTGCCAGCTGACTTGGGCTTGAAGGGCTCGAGCTAAGGGGCTGTTTAATTAGTTGTAAAATGTAGACCGGGGTCGGCAACCTATGGCACGCGTGCCAAAGACAGTACACGAGCCAATTTTTAATGGCACACTGCTGCCTGCCGGGTCCCAGCTGCCGGCCCGCTCAGCCCGCTGCCGAACCCAGGCTGGCAGCGGGCTGAGTGGGGCCAGTGGCCAGGACCCCGGCAGGCAGCAGCGTGCCATTAAAAATCCTGCCTGCCCTGGCCCGCTCTTTTCCACCCGTCTCCCCGCCCCCACGGAGGCAGAGTGAAGAAGTTTGGTTCTGCCTGCTGCAGGGCAGGCAAGTTCCCCCTCCCTCGCCTCTTCCCCCAGCGTGCTGGATTCCTGCCCCTCCTCCTTTCCCTGCCGCCGATCAGCTGATGGCCCTTGCAAGGGAGGAGGAGAAGCGGCGCCGCAGTCTGGGCAGGAGGTGAGGTGGGGACAGGGCCTTGGGGAAGGGGGTTGGAATCAGGGCATATCCCCTCCAGCCCCCTGCCGTGAGACGCTCTAAGCAGGGGGCTGGGAGCACCCCCATGACCCTAGCCCACACACTCAGCCCTCTGCCCTGACCCCTGCACCCCCCTCACACACACCCAGTCCTCTGCCCTGACCCCTGCACCCCAACACATATCCAGCCCCCCCCACACCCCATGCCCTGACTCTTGCACCCCCTACACATGCGCCCATCCCTCTGCCCTGACTCCTGCACCCTCCTCACACACCCACAGCCCCCTGCCCTGACTCCTGCACCTCCCCACATATACCCAGCCCCTCCCCACACCCCATGTCCTGACTCTTGCACCCCCCGCATTCCCAACCCCATCCTAAGCACCAAACGGGAGCTCCTGCACCCCTTGCACCAAATGGGAGCTGCCCACATAAGCACTCCACACCCAAACCTCCTGCCACAACCCTGAGCCCCCTCCCTTATTCTAGCTCCTGGCCAGACCCTGCACCCCACCCCCCAGCCTGGTCCTTCACCCTCAGCCCTGTGTTCAGTGCACTCCTACCCTCAGCTCAGTGCAGAGAGAGAGAGGAAGAGAATGGGGTAGAACCAGGGAGAAGGTAGGTACCCACTCTGTGTGGGCAGGGCCGGGATCCCAGACCGGCAGTGGGCTGAATGGAGCTGGCAGCCGGGACCCTAGCTGGCAGGAGCCTGTGTACAGAACCCCAGACTGGCAACGGGCTGAGTCGCTCAGCCCACTGCCGGTCTGGGGTCCCGGCCGCCAGCCCTGGGTCCTGGCCGCCAGCCCCACTCAGCCCGCTGCCGGTCCCTTGCTAGCTGGGGTCCTGGCCGCAGGCCCCCGCTCAGCCCGCTGCCGGCCTAGGTGAATGGCCCAGGCTGGCTGCGGGCTGAGCGGGCCAGCAGCGTAAGATCAGCATTTTAATTTAATTTTAAGTGAAGCTTCTTAAACATTTTGAAAACCTTGTTTACTTTACATACGACAATAGTTTAGTTATATAAAATATAGACTTATAGAGAGAGACCTTCTAAAAAAGTTAAAATATATTACTGGCACGCGAAACCTTAAAGTGAATAAACGAAGACTCGGCACACCACTTCTGAAAGGTTGCCGACCCCTGGTGTAGACGTTCAGGCTTGGACTGCAGCCCAAGCTTTGGAACTCTCCCACCTAGAGCTCGAGCACCAACCTCAGCCCAAATGTCTGCATGCAGTTAAACCTCCCCTTAGCCCGAACCAGCTCCAGCGATGAGTTTAAGACCTCAGTTGAAATCCAGGCCTCTGTCTCACAGGCCTAATAATCAACTTTAGCCATGCCTCCGAGCTTCTTAAGACATCCTTAACTATGCTTTATATGTAAAATATATACGAAACCACTTTTTTTTCTGCTCCTTGTTTTACCTGAGAAATATCCGGGAGATCTGATTTGCTTTCCCATTCTTTACTGAAGGACTCTCTAGGGCATTAAATAATTGAAGTACAATTTTCTTAGTTCTCAAATGAAGGGATGAGGATTGAGTCTTTCCCAAAGAAAGCTATTTTTCCTCAATGGTTGTCAAGAATTTGAGTTAAATAGGTTTTCTATTAAAAACAAAACCAAAAACCAACACCAGACTGATTTAAAAACCCTGCTCCTCTCAATTGCTCAGGGTTCAGGCCTTGTCTACACAAAAAAATTGTTCTGATTTAACTAAGTCCTTATCTACATGAGAAAGTTTTAGTAGATATACTAGTTGTAGTTACACTGGTATAGTTACACCGTGTAGACACTTATTCTGGTGTAAGAGATTACTTTTTTTCAGCTAACTTAAACTTCTTTTCCAAGTGACAAAACCTAAACTGAAAAAAACGCATTCTAACACTGGAATAAGTTTGTCATCACGAAGGGAGGGGAGAGGAGGGTAGTTATGTTGGCATAATTGTATCCATTTAAATTCATACCTTAGGTTTTACTGAGAAATCTTTCCTATGTAGACAAGGCCTAAATACCTTAAATTTAACTACATCTGTTTCTAAACAAATATTATTTAAAAAGAGAGGTGGCCCACCTTTATATATCATAGTAAAGTCAACAGGGCACAACTTCTTTTGTCCTATTTGCATGTCACCTTTCAGTGCATTACTGTTATGACTACGTAATGCAACCTATGCTGTGTGGTCCTTTATCGTACTACAAGGGGGAGATTGCATCCATTTGGTAGCTCCAACAGTTTACAATACGGTAATAAAAGTATGTACAAAAAATCTAGGACCATTTACTGTGCATACTTTCTCCTTCACATCACTTCCAGAAGGCATAGGCATGCTAGCCCACGTTAAGATAAAGCCATCACTGCCCCATTATTCCAAGCTATCAGCATCCGGTGGGTCTCCTCCTTTGTTTGCCTTTTAGACTGAGCTCCTTGATACAGGAACCATGGGCTCAGTTCCTCACACTGACCATGTGAGTGAGATGTGTTACAGGCCTAGGCCCTGATCCACAGTTGGATCTGCACAGACAGACCTTTTGCATCTGTGTGGACACCTATTGATATCAGTAGTGTTCAGTGAAGCTCTAATTACGTAACTGTGGTTCTGTTCTTTAAAAAGTGAAATCCCAGGTCCACTGAAGTCAATGAGAGTTTTGCCATTGAGTTCAGGGGGGCCAGGATTTCACCCCAGGACTGTAGCATGGCTTAGTCAAATTCTCTAAAATAGAACTCTGCTAATGGTTTTTGCTAGTGTGTGTTTTGGTTTTGAAGACACGTGATAAATGTAGAGTTAAGTAACACTTTAAAATTTTAGGGGCTGATTTTCAAAAATTCAAGTGCACAATTGCATTTACCATAAATGTGCGTGCAAATTGTACAATTGAGCCCATGTCCCTGATTTGTACACTTGCAACTTTGCAACTTCTTTGTGTATATATTTTCTTTTACTTGCACTTGTCTCTACCTTTTTTGTTTTTTTCTTCTTGAAAAACCAGTAAAGATTCTTGTGTTAAAAAAAGAAAGCCAGTAATGAAGTTGCTTTCATGTGCATATGAAAAACAATCTGTTCTTTGTTTTAAATTCATGTAATGCCTTTCTGAAATTTAGGTAATCAACTTCAGACATTTTTCAAGTTGCATTTTTCTGGTGATTTAATCTTATCTGTTAAATCAGTTAAGTGCAGAGAATTAAGTCTGAAAAATACTAAATGTTGAAACAAATGTATTTTGAAGTAATGGTAGAGGTTTTAGTCTAACTGATTTAAAAAAAGAGAGAGAGAGAGAGAGAGGTGATGCTGCCCTCCCATTCTGAGTAACCTGTGTGCTGTGCATATATTGATCCAAAGAACTCGTGGATATCCAGTGAGTCAGATTGCCTGGAAGGCTGAATAGTCCAATCTGTCTTCTCAAAAAAGAGCACTCCCTTCATGGTCTGAGAAATTATTACTGTATTTGAATACAAGGTTTGCTTTGTTTTTCAAAATTGAGCATTTCAAGACACCTGAGGTTTGTAATATAAAAGTGCAACCCCCGTGAGTTCTATTTTCACTCTTGTTTTATTTCTGACCTTCGCGTCTGATGTGCCGTCCCCGTCACACGGGAGAGTAGCTGTGTCTGCACTAGCATTTTTGTCGTTATTTCCCAGTGTTTCCCGACTGTTGGTGCAGCTTCATCTGGACTTGCATTTACAATGCAGCCAGGTACACTTGCTATATCTAAGTGTTATCTTCCAAATTATACAAGGAACTTTATCCAACTCAGACATATTGATGAGTAGGACTGATGGGAGAGAAATCTCATGAGGTCTTTTGCCTGCTGATTTTTTTAGTAACTAATTCCACATGGTTAGAAACATTTTATTTTTTCTCGTGTTGTTTATTCTCTCTGACCCTGACAAGATCCCTTCCACTCTGTTTATCCTGATTTATACCCCACTTGAGAATAGCTATATTTGTGAATGATGTGACCCGGCCTTTCAGAGCGAATCAGTGCTGCTGCTTAATTGTCTGTAGGCATAACTGTTCGGTGAAGTCAAGTATTGTGGGGATCTCCCACAATGAAATTCAATGTCCTCTCCAGCAACCATACTGACCTATACAGTTTTTCTTCACCAAGAACAATTTTCTTACTTCACTAAATATCATCTTTCCCCTTTTATTTTCTAGGCATCTGAATTTCTGTGTTTGGAATTTGATGAGGCCAAGGTGAATCAAATGCTGAAGAAACTGTCAGAGATTGAAGAGAGCATAAAGGCACTGACACAGACCACCTGACTGTTAAGATAAAGAAAGAGATTGTGACTCAGAACATAGCTGGCCTTAGTACTTGTTAATAATTTCTATTCTTATATATGAAATTGTTACCAATATTCTACTGACAAGTGATCATAAAATAAAATAATGTGAGCTCGGCTGTGCCACTCTGACACTTGTGAGCACTTACTCATACAAGAAATCCCATTGGATTTAATGGGGCTACTTGCTTAAGTGCATAACAGCTGAGTGAGGCTGTGCATAATCAAGCCCTACATGTTAGAGTAGCGTGGCTTTCCTTTTCATGCCTCTTAATGATTTGTCGAGTCATCTTCTGACTACTCTGACTTGAGATAAATGCTGGGCTGCAGTCAGTATCCATGGGAAACTGGATGGCCCTGTGGCAGGGGAAAAACACAGACAGACAATCTAACGGCTGCTCAGATTTTTCCTTATAAAGTAAAGACATTCTCTGATAATTCTTCCCTTTTCTCATTGGAACCTAAGGGGGCAAACTGTGGTCTCAGTCAAAGTCTGTTATGGTTGTGCACTAGGTATAAAAAGTAATACGACGTCAACCAACTAAGAATAGGTGAGACGAGAGGTTTAACTGCCAGCGGTAGAGAAAAACATAAAGGAGAAACTGAATGAGGAAATTTCTGCTAATGAAGTTTAGTAGACAGTCAAATGCAGAGATCTGAAGCTCTGGATAGACTCTGATTAGTACACCTGTTCCCATCACACCCTGAAACTTATAAAAGAATCTATTTAAGTAGTTGAGTAGCACATACATGTTATACATTACTGAAAACAGTTATCAAACTCTGTAAGGTTTCAGAGTAGCAGCCGTGTTAGTCTGTATCCGCAAAAAGAAAAGGAGGACTTGTGGCACCTCAGAGACTAACAAATTTATTTGAGCATAAGCTTTTGTGAGCTACAGCTCACTTCATCGGATGCATTCAGTAACTCTGTAAGGGAAGCAAACCCATCAGCCCTTCCAAAGCACAGAGAAGAACTCTCTTGGTACACATCATATTGACCCCCTCTCTCTCTCTCTCAAGCAGGCTATAAATATCGTAACAAAAATCCAGACAGGAAATAATCCTCCAGTCACTGATAAAGACCTCTTTGCAATGTAACAGATTTACCACGCACCAAATGGCTTCTAACATGTTTTTGCCCACAAAGAATCTGATCCTGCAGAGTACTGAGTCCTTTCATAGGCTTAAACCAGGGATGGATGTCGCCCACAGTCACTTAACCATGATTCATTTCAGTAGCTTCCATTGTATACAGAAATTAAACAAATGCTGTCAAGATGCACTACATAGGAATAATTTTCTCATTACTGTTAACACCCATAGTGCCCTGTCTACTCAGAAGCATATTGATCAAAGGAACACTTGTATTTAATTTTTTATTGATCTGTAAATGTAGGGCCCATTCTGTTCCCACTGAAGTCAATGGAAGTTGGCCCTTAAGTTGTCCCTTTGTTTGTATCCAAACTGTAACAATGTGTGTGTACTTGCTTTGAATTTGGTGTGTTTGGCACCACATGACCCTGAGGCTCTATACAGGCACAGAGTTTTTTCTACTGCTATGATTTAAATAGAGGTTTATTTTTAGTGTGCTTAGTTTAACCAAATCCTAATCGTTCCAACCCCCTTCCTCCCTTTTCGCTGGCCCACCAACAGGCTGTTCAGTTAATTCAGCAGTATTCATCCCACGTTAAAGTTTGGTAACCTTTCCTTTCCAGAAATGGGATGTGAGCCCTTTTTCTGATATGGGGCTGCCATGATCCAAACTCCACAGACGTGGACTAGATCCATTGTTCCTAAAGATTTGGCATGGAGATTTCCCAGCCTTTACTCTTTGCTACTGTACTGAAGAACATCGGCGAGGTCCTATGATGGTGACCCGTGGAAAAAGGCGGGATGGGGTTGGAAAAGATGGCAAAACTAAGTGCAATAAAAATAAATCTCACCTCAGATAAACTAACTCATCCTAATAAAAGCTCTGTCTCTGTACGTAGCTTTGGGGCCAGGATGAAGGCATGGAATGTGAAGCCCTGAAATTCCAAAACACAGGTACATGTGTGTCTGTATGTAGATACAGTTATTTATCTAAAATGTATATTTCAGGAACACCCAGTGTGTTTAAATAATTAAGTTGTCATTGGGGCAGTGAGAGAGCGTGAGAATGACTTTGTAGCCTGGTGGTTAGCGCACCCCGTTGGGAGGAGGGAGACTCAAGTCCCTGTTCCAGTAACTATTTCATTATTTATAAAAAGTGGAATAGCTTGAACAGGAGACATTGCGTGACATCTGCCCCACACTAGCCCAGAGCCCAGCAATTAGGATATTTTCCTGGGATGTAGGAGATCCAACTTCAAATCACTGCTCTGCAACAGGTCTCCTACAACCCATTCAAGTGCTCTAAATGGTGGGCTAAAAGTTGTAAGGTGGTATCTGCATCACCGGCTCTGCCAACGGTTTTGTTGAAAAAGGACTGACCTGGCTTAGGCACCTAACTCCAGGAGAGTTCATGGCTGTGAATCTCCAATGGAGCTAGGCACCTCCCTCCAACCTGGACTTGAGTGCCAAACTGCCTTTGAGGGGTGGGGCTTAAGATCTGCTGCTCTCCTCCTCATTTCCTATTGGCTAGCTTCGGGGCTCCCTGCTCATTTGTTGGTTTTTTGCGTCCCTTTCTTAGGCACCTCTTTTTTCCCTCTCAATCCTGGGTGCCTAAACTCAAGATGGGGAATTGTGCTGGGTGGTCAGGTCCCTAAAATGTCCCTTTGTGAATGAAGCCCCTCCTTCTCTTGCAGCTCTGCCTGGTCACCTGTATTCCATTGCACTGCTCAATAGAGACTATTTTGCTTTTCTTCTTCTCACTGGCAAAAAAAATTATACATATTAAGGGTAAAGCTTCCATTGATTCTTTCAATTTATTTTAACTTTGTAAGAAACAGAGCTAAAACTATATTAAGTGCTAGTACAGAAATAGTGATGACAACATACAATACAGTAGTGCCATAATTGAAGTGCATTTCATTGTCTCTGCAAGTGAATTTAGTGCTTGTGAAGATGCCAGATTGATTGCACTTAGAAACTTAACTTCTCCCTTCTCAGAATGGGGAAAGGACAGGATTTCTTGCCCACCCAATCAGAATATAAATGCAGCTCCCCGGTTAACCCACACTATCCACTTTGGGGCCCACCTCCCCCTTCTGTCCTCCTCTTCCAACACTACTCTCAAGAGCTGCCCCTTCTCCTGATTTCTCACCCTCCTGTGTAAGGACTTTACATCCTCCTGTATCCATTTTCCATCTTGAGTTCTCAGGTCCCTTCTTACCACTTCTTGGGCCTTTGCCACTTCTCTGTGCCTCCCCCAATGAGAGTCTGAGCAGAAGCTACACTTCGCCACTCATTCCCAATTTTGCAACCTCCATGCCCTGGGTAGAAGACTCCTCCCGAGAAATCACAACTGCCCAAAGGCGGAGTCTCCTTCTGCCACCATCACTTGATCTGACTCTGTCTTGCCAATGCAGTGTGTTATTTACTGCTTCCTCACAGTCCTCAGCCTGCAGGGAAACAAGGAGAGTGAAGTGGAAGCAGGACACCCAGGGTACTCTGAGAAGCCAGATAGAGGAGTTTTAACAATATGCTTCCTCACGTCTCACCAGCAGCTAGGAGAGGGATCCACTTGTGGGTGGGACCTGAAAACTCTTGAATACTCTGGCAGCTCACAAGAAAAGGTGGAGATGACAGAGCAAATCTGGAGGTTATGCTAGTCTGGGCATCAGCAGCAAGACATGCTTTCTTACGGATCCTGGATAATGTGCCTATACCCATTCTGGAGGGATCTTTTCTATCACTAAGAGTCTATCTTGTCTCCAGGCTAATTCAGCCCTTGGCCTCTGCAGAAATGGCCAGCAAAGTTGCCTGTTAGTGCTATTTGTGGAGGATGTTAGCTGTGACAGGTGCTCCCGGTGTTGCCTACTCATAGTTTTAATGCAAGTCTTACAACATTTGGTGGTGATCTTAAAGACCCAGCTCCAGGAGTCAAGTGATTACATGATAATCTCAGCTTTCAGTTTTTAAAATTTTTTTTAATCTGGTAAATTTCTTGCCCTCATGATTGTGGAGAAGATGTCCTGAGTGCACCCTGAAGCTTCAAAAAGCAGAAGGCAAATAAAAAGAACACAGACTTTAATATTTTCTTTCATGATTTTTAAGACAATCCCTTTATTGTTTGGGGCCTGACTTGTGAGTTTTCAGTGATTGAAGCTGGCAGCACTGGACACCTATCAGAGAGCCACTGGCCTGTGACCACCAAACTCATTTCTCACACAGGCCTCCTGATGGCCAGCTACTAGCGATGGCTTTGGTCATAATCAACATGCACTGGATTTGAACCAGGGACTCAGTGCTGATTCTCTGAGCTAATGAAAGTTCATTAAAATGACCTAATACATTTTAAACAAGGTTTTATTTAAAAAAAAAATAGATGGGTCAGTTAACGCTCACAATCTTAAATAACTTCCATCATGTCAAGCGTAGTAATTGTTTTATTTTAACGTGTACAGAGGATAGGAAAATGTGATATAAATGGAAATTAAAGAGAAATAAACTTAGAACAGATGTCAGGAAGTATTATTTCATGAAAAGAATAATAAATATGTGAAATGGCCAACCAGACAAGGTTACTGAGGCAAAAAGCCCCAAAACACTGGGGTCATTTATGAAATAATTGGGTGCTTTCCAGGAAGAACTTGGAAAGCTAAAGGGGGGCATGTTTCCATGTTTCCAAGTTCAGCAACTTTCTCCCTAACATTTATTGTCTCTCTCTAATCTTATGCTTTTATTTTCCTCTTCCAGGGAGTTGTAAATTATCTAGCAGATGTGAGAAATACTTCGCGCATATTGAGCCAAATTCTGTCTGGCCTTCAATGAGATTGCAGGGGTGTGACTGGAAAAGAAAAAACTGTCCCATTCTGCGGGATTTGCCATTGGTAGTAAACTTTGTACTTCACCTGAGTGCTTTAATGCTAGGTTAATGTGGGTGGTTGCAGATCAGGTGGTTTCCTCTGTAAAAGTGAGCTCAGGTTTAACCTGATTTAGGTGGAACTAAATGGAAGTCTGGTTTTAACTCTTTGGTTCAGAATTTGAAA